GGGAAGGCTCAGAAACTCCACAGTGGCATCCCAAAGCCCTGCAGACCATGAAAGCAATTGTGTGAGCTGAGTCCTGGAATTCCCCAGGGCTTCCCCAGGCACTGCCATCCCCCTGCCTTGGCTTCCCACTGTGGACAGACCCGAGGCCAGAACGCAGCCCTTCAGCCCCAGGATGGTCACAGAACCTCCCTCCACATCAGAGGGGCTGGAATGAGCTAAAAAACCAGCAGTGCTGCCTTTAGTCCAACCAGAGACAGGAAAGTAACTCACCCAGTTCAAGGAACTGCTGCTTCCCCTTGGAAAGGCCGAACAAGGGAGCCTTCCACACCCCTTGGGAAGGGAACAGTTCCTCTGAGTGCCGTTCACTGACACTTTAAAAGTGTCCCCACGCATTTCTCAAGCCCATGGCCTTTGTCTGTGCCCCTGAGTCCATTAGAGCACTCAGGAGCTGGACCTAAGGTTACAAAGGCCTAATCAACACTCCAATTTTTCGTAATAAATCTGAGGAAGAACTTCTCTGCTTCCACTTAATCCATGGGCAAACCTCTAGGTTACAAGTCTTGGCTTAAATTTATTTCTAGAATACAAAAAAAAAAAAAAAAGTTCTGCATGATTTCTTTTTTTTTAATTCAAAATGCTCACTTTATTATACTCTCTTATATCACTTATGCTAGAGTTTAATTTATCTCCAGGCAGAGTCAGTCAAAATTAATTTTTTGTTTAATTCCTTACTGGTAACATGCATGGAAACTTTTAAGACAGCAATTGATTGCATTGCACATTTAAAATATGGTTCACTTCCCAGCACCTCTGACAATCATTTAAGTTTTCAATTAAAGTAGGGTGCCAACATTAAAAGAAAAAAGATAATCCTGAGAGACAATAACTGCTCTGTGCAGAGGAAAATTTTTGTTACTAAAATTCTCAGGATATCTAATTGATTAATATAATTAGGCTAACCCAAAAGCCACTAATCTTCTTTTTTCAGTTTGGAGTCTGCTGGGACTTTCTGTCACACTGGATGAACTGGGTGGGTGGTGCACACAGGGGCACTTTCTCCCAGCAGCATTACCTGGTCAGGTAACAGGGGGGTGACATCTCTGGCAACTCCATCTCACAGCTGAGTAAACTGAAGCCAAAAGACGAAGGGAGATGCAGCAGAGCAGAGCACAAAGAGTGGCACCATTTGTGTTAGAAATGAAAACATGCCAACACTGTTCATTTCCTTGCAAGGCTGAGCACACACAGCACAACAGCAACAGAGGAGGCAGAGAAGCCCTTCCTCTGCCACAGCCCAGGGGTGATCAGCTCACACCATCAGCTTCAGTAAAACATGGGAGATATTAACATCCCACCATTTATTCCTGTTTCCAGATATGGCCCAAGTTCTTCCACACTCTCCCTTGGCTGTGCAAGCTCTACCATCCAGAACTGACACTACCGCAATAATCACACTGGTCACCACGTCAGTGGTGAGTCCTGGTTAAGGGACAATCCACGCTGCCCAACAGCTGATATTTTAGCCAGAGGGGGCAAACACCAGCCTATAACCAAGTTTCAAGCTTATATTCTTCTGCTTATATTCTCCAGCTGTAGCTGGAGACTCTCTGTGCCTGGAGCTGCCAACACGCAGCAGGCTCCGAGCTGCACAGACAGGATCAAACCAGGAGATACTGTTCAACAATTATCATGGTACTGAGCGTAAGATACAGGCATTTTCTACTTCAGCATCAGTAAACAATACCTGGATAGAGTTCCTCTTACCTTTGAGCGCATACACTCCTTCACAGGACAGGGGCATGGCAAAAACAAGGCCATTTTCTTCCAACCTCATCAGCTCTGTAAGGGAAGCTCTCCATGGAGAAGCCATTTCGAGTCCATAGGATTTCCCAATATGTATTTTTAAGCCATCTAGCAGGGATAACATCCTTAGTAATCAATTTGACTCATGATTCCTGTTTCAAACACAGGCTTGTACCCAGACGAAAAAAGCACACTTTACATGGCAATATATACAGAACAATAACATTGCCAGATGGTATAATACTGAACAGAATTAATTTCACACATAATGTTTTCAAGGTGTTAAAATATGTCACAGCTTCTGCTAATAAAACATCTTCCTTTTCCCTCCTCCTTTTAGGAAAACACTCCGTTCCCACCAGCCTGTATTTTACATTATATGTGTTTCCAATCCTGATAAGGGCAGCTGATTGCTTGCAAACCTAATTACAGTCAAATGAAAGTCTTTCAGAACCATCATTAGTAATTAGGACCCGCTGGATTCGCAGTATATCATTTAGAGAGGTATAATTCAATAGCTTATTGAAAAATTGCAGGTGAAACTGGTGATTATAAGGGGGGGATGCCTGTGACACGTCAGTGCCGGCAGAGCCCGGGTGAAGTGGCAGCTTTCCGTGTGGCTGATCAATGGATGCAGGTGTTGGCTCCGGAGCACAGCCCTGCCTCGCTCGGGGAGCTGCGTCCCTGTGGCACACGTGGCTTTCTCAACGGCCCTGGATTTCCCAGGACATGCCTGGTTTTGAGTGTGTGTGTTTTCATGGAATCCAAAGTGCCTGCTCAGGAGCTTTGTCAGGCCCGGGGGGGGATGTGCCGTGAGGAACAACGGGCACACGAAGCCACACATCATTTTTCGGTGCTTTCTGCAGAGAACAACAATCTTTTCTGTGCCCGTTGAGCTCAATTATATATTATCAGGGCCCAGAAGTTGTTTGGATGCTTTGGAGCAGCTGGGTGCCTTCACAGCTGACGCACTGGATGCGGTGACTGCGGGTTAAGTGCAGCTGGAGATTTCTGTGGCCTCTGATCAGAGGAGAACAGCAGTTGAGAATCACAAAATGCTTGTAATTCAAGCACTGTTTGTCACCAGTGGCAGTTTCTGAGAGGGAAACGAGAGGGGCAACTGAACAGCAGCCCAGCCTTCAGCACAGGCCCGGTCACACACAGGAACCCACACACTGTGCATGTGGGAAAATACAGCACAGGGCCTTCCAAGGATGGAATTACCCACGGCCAGTGTAAAGTACTAAATGTTTCACAGCACTAAGGCAGACTGGAGGACACTGAGCTGGACATTAGCAGAGACAGATGATGTTCATTCACACAACAGATTCCCTCCCTGGGCATAGCCCTCCACATGCACACCCTTGTGTAACATATACCCCTCCAAACCCCCACAGAGCCCAGCCTACACCTGCACAAAGCCCCACTGCTTGACCTTCCCCTTTTCCATCCTATAAATCCTTCTCAAAGCCCAGATCTACCCATCTCCCTTTATCACATGAGTATCTTCTCCCACTATATCACTACACCCACTCATGCTGTGATGTAACCTCAAAGCACAGTTATCTGGATATGGCCCTTTCTATTCTCTCAGTGCTGCAATCTGATTTTTTCATAATTTAATAGTTTCTTTTTCTAATTAAATGCTTTTTAATATGGTAGATTAATAAACAATGCCTTGGGTGTCACGACACCAACACCAAGCAGATACAGATTCATTCAACCAGTGGCCCCTCAAGTCCTGTTGCTGGTGACACTTGCTGGGGGTGCCTTCAGACTTTTGGCAACACTTGCACAGAATAAACCCACACTGTATAGGCTGCAACACAAACAGCAAATCCAATCATTTCAAAGTGGTTGTGCCAGTATTTTGAAATGAAAAACAAAAAAACCTAAACCAAACAACTTGTCTCTTTACAGACAGAATGGAACCATTATCTCCATTTCCATCAGTACATGGCCATATCCCTGCTGACCTGATTGTGGCTGGAACCACTCCCAAGGCACATGACTTTGTCCCACACTCTGGGAGTTGGTAGAGATGTTTCCTGTTGCTTCATACAAAACCAGACCCCCAACAGTGCAAAACCAGCCCAAACACCCCTGCATGCTCCCAAACCCCTCTGTTGCCCCGCACGAGCTACTTCATGGCCCAGGTACTGTCCTGATCTTCAGAAGTTTTTTAGTCACCGAAATCCACTGGCTGCCAGTGAAGTAATCCCGAATCCCAGCAGCTGTGTACAAGGAGATTCAAACCTTTACCACGCACTCTGGGTGCATGCATGCTGGAGGCAGGATTTCCAAGGTGTCTGACCTTACACTGCACAAATAGATACCCCTTTTTTCCCTTGCACAGAGCTACAAGCAGGGAGTCAAAGGAATGAAGCAGTTCTCCATGGTTGTGTATAATACTTGTAGCTGCTATGGCACTCCCAAAGCCCACCCACAATTTCATTTTCAATTAGCAGCTCTTAGAAAAGCAGTAATGAAAGCAGTTGCTAAAGAGCACTCAGATGTCATTGAGAGACTGCAAACCCAAACTGTAAATAGCACATTGTAAATCGCTTGTCACCACAGGCAGCTCTCCCCGGGATCACACTGCCGGTGACAATCAAACCCATCTGCTCCCGTCCCCGACCACTGTCACCACAGCCCAGGGAGCAAACACCCACCTCCCGCTCTGCTCCCATTACCTGTCAGGTATGGGCTTGTCTGAGAGCTTGCAAAAGCCACTCTGGCTGTGGGTGTGATTAAACACTCATCACACAGCGGTCATTTCACCCTCCACACCACGGGTTTGCTGCACTGAGGCACCAAGTGTGCTGTCCCTGAATCCACAGCACAATTAATGACACGATGCTCACGAGCCACAATGGCAGGGGACAGTGATGGCCACTCAGATCAGCCACCAAAAGCAGTCTCAAATGTAAGATGTATAAATTCAGGGTGAGGCTGCCAAGGAGATCGTGGACTTAATCCTGACAGCTTCAGTCCTTCCCTCCCTCCCCCTTAATTGATCCATGTAATGCACTACGAGGTGAAAGCTAATAGTTTATAATGCTTGTAGCTGATGGCTGCCAGAGCCAGTGGGGTATCTTTTGCTGCTTCCCATTTTGCCTTTATCTCATTAAAATTTACCTCCTAATTCATCTCTCCATCATGAGTTTTATTCCCTTTATTCATCATCCGCCCTTTATTTATTACCATTTGTCTCCTTCCCTGCTGTCACATGGTATCTGGGATTGGGATTTGATATTCTGCAAGTGTCTTTGGGATCAGGTGGTGCAGGCAGAACCCAGCAGCTCTCATGCAGACATAGTCAGCTAAGACCCCTTGCTGGTTTAGAAGCATTTCCAGAGATGATCCTTTTCTGCAAGAAGATGCAAGAATCTCCCAGCAGATGAACAAAACAATGAAGGAAATGGTGGAGGTAGCAAGTCAGTGTCTTCTGCTCTTTCCAAAACACACACCCACTGAACAAAGATCCTTCCCTCTCATTATCAGAATACTCTCAACACTCCTTCTGCCCTGAAAACTCATTGTTTCCTGGTATACCCCACTGTGCTCGGACCTCAAGGAATAAAAACTCATTAAAATCCATTTAAAAATGTTTGCCACCATTTTACTAGTTTAAAAATGTTCACTTTAAGATTTCCAAATGATTTTTACAGAAAACACATAAAAACATGCCACCACCAATTAACGTAAAGGAAATTAAATTTAAGACGCTGGAGAAATACTCTGATGAGTCTTATGTTTGCTTAATGCCAACTAAAATTTCCTTGAGGCATTTAATAAGTACATTTATAAAAGCTCACAAAGCAGAGTTCAAAAGTCTTCTCGCTAGTAAAATATGAGCCTTAATTAACCTACAGTTTCACATTTTCTGGATTTCAATAAACCTGTAGGCATTTCAGCAGAGCTGGATAAATACCTGCATGAACACTGCAAGGATTTTCTCTGAAAACTAATTAGCAGTGCTTTCAATAGCTGACTTCAACTAAATCTGTTTGACGAGGGAGCTTCATACCCTAAATCCTGCAGTGAGAGTTACTTCCAGCAGATAACAGATTTCACAGAAAAGAATATCCACCAGGACTGTCCACCACTGGGGAAACTACAAACAAGATCTCCAGGTATAAAACATCTCCCAGCAGGGACAGACTGCAGCCAAGGTCTTATGCCAGCACAGGAAGGCAAGGGACTGCATTAGGATTGCATCCTGCCACCCAGTTACAGTATTCACATGTGGCAATTCAGGATTCCCCCAGGGACAGGAGAGGCAGGATAAATTGTTTATATATAAAATACATCGCCCTAGTATAGGACACCATATACATCCAGAAGTCTCCTGAACTTTAAATGGCTCTGGACACTCCTACTGTGTCAAGCACAAACCACAGTGGCCCCAGTTCTTGGATTGTTGCCATCTGAGAAGGTTGACAATCAACTCTACTTCCCCTCCAAGAGCCCAGGAATTCAGTGGGATGGACCTGGATGGGGAAAGCTACCCAAGGTGTGCAGCCAAGAGTCACTGGAGGAGGAAAAGTGTAACATTATCAGGGAAAATCACCCTCAGAACTTATCACTCTCCTCCTTCTTTTGAGGTCTACACCATTTGTCTTGAAAGAAGACAGAAAATGCTTACCACAAACTCTCTCTATAAAAGTGGTGGGCATGCCTCTCCAAAGAACTTTATAGTCTTTTCCATGACATCTTTTTTCCATGTCTAAGTGCCAAAGCCTCATAGTTTGTCAGCACCTACACTGTTCATGAGACTAAAATGCTCGTATCTGAGGAGCTACACCCCTCCCAAATGTATTAAATTTATATTGAGCAAGATATTTTATTTCCTCTCAGTCTGATCCCTCAGGAATTAGTCAGGGTACTCAGATTTATCAGCTCAAAGGAAAAGAGCATTTTCCATGGCATTTGTCAACTCAATACCTTCCAAGACAGTTGTATATTTACTCCAGAAAACATAACCTCACAAATAACCTCCATCAGCAGTGAGGCTGATTTCCTTCATAGCTGAAATTCCAGGCAGAAAGGCTCCACCTGACAATAGGTCACACCAGAGGAGTCAAACAATGCAAAAAGTCAGTTCTACAGAGGCCAGTTCCTCCTGCCCAAAGGAGGTCCATTTACCATCTGACAGACCAAACCAGAACAGACACAGGAAACAGTCAAGGAAACACAGCAACCTTCAATATCTATTTATAACATAACCATTGCATCAACTATCCTGAAGAGTTTTCCCCACCTCCCTTTGAAATATCAAGTAAAATTAAATTAGAAGAAATACCTTTAACAGCTGTGGTAGTGTAGAATAGGCATTTTTACAATTTGTGTGCTCTGCTGAAGTACTGTATAATCTCTAATTTTATTTCTATACACAGTGTAGGCTTAAAAATCATCATGAAAACCTATTTTTTCCCAGCTTCTGTAACTCTGAATATCAAAATTGAATACAAGTCAGCATACTTGTCATCCTCAGTGTTCCTTCCATTTCCCTGAGCTCACAAAATGAGAAGCAGTGAATTCTCACTATTTTCTACAAGTTTCTCCGCAAAGCAACGTTTGGTTTGCACTAAACAAGGATGAAAAATGATTCCAAATATCAACCATCCCCATTAGACATGTAAATTTTGTTTCAAGGCTCATAAACATGACTCAAATGTAGGCAAAAGCTGACCTTTTTACTATTACCTCTTTTTTCTGCATCTGCATCATAGAAATCACACTTGTCACACTTTCTTCTTTTTTAAAAAACATAACAAACACGACACTGCACAGTCATGAAGAAGAACCCAACGTTTCCAGCCTCAGGCTTTGCAAGCCTGGATGTGACCTGCTCACTCTTGCCACATGTGTGCCACAGCTACCCTGGAAGGGAACAACACTGCTGGGAAGGCAGAAGTTCTTGCTTAGGGCAGGTTCTGAGTAACTCAGAGGAGCAGAACCAGTGCCACTGACACCCTACAGATGAGCTCCTCACACTGTAATCAGTCTCAGAGCTTTGCCTTGATGAACAGCTGCCCTTCTTGCAATTACCTCACCTTGCCCTTGGCATTCAGAGGGGTCTTGTGCTTCCCTGAACAAAGTCTGGAGACTAGAATGCATATTTATAGGACAAAGTTGGCCTTGCAGTGTAACAGAGAGACCACCTTTGTTTGCCCTGACAGCCTCACAGCCAGCCTGTGGAAAGCTCTCCCAAGCCTTGCACATTTATTAATCAGATCAGCTCCACCATCAATCCACCTGCTCAGCCCAGCTCCTGCACTGGCAGGACACAGCACCGAGTGCCACCCGAGAGCCTGAGAACAAAACAACCACCAAAGGATTCGAATAAGTGATCCCACAAAAGGAGAAACTGGCTTCTACCTACCATGTGCCAAGAGCCAAAGCCCTCCTTCCCCGCAGCAGGTGACTTGTGTCCCACCTGTCGGAGGCCCTTGGGTAATTTCTTCCTTTTCCCAAGGTGCTGGCACAGGTTACGGTCATTTTCCCGGTCAGAGCTGTACTGGTGGTGGTGGAGTCTGTTCTTTTTGGGAGGGTACGACAGCCCATTGGTAAGTGCTTCCCGTTTCTTCTTGGCTAGAGGGTTCTGTCTCTTCTCCATACGTTCCTGAGGTTTCAGAGCTACGTCCTTCTGCAGAGGGAGAAGGAGGGAGAGAAAAAGACAGCAGTTAAGCCACAGCTCTGATTTGCTTGCCCTCCTGAAGCAGCAATTCCAAGTGACCAGCAAAGAACTCTAGAGGCAACACTACAGTCACCAGAAAAGGAAAAAAACCCAGCCTTCACTGATGTCCTCTCAACCACTTGACAGGCAAACACAAAATGAAGTCGGTCAGGTGAAGTGAGTGCACAGAAGCAAACATATCCTCCTTGAGGTTTCATACCATCAACCTCTCAATTCTCCGAAACATCTCATGCATCAGGTGAACACACATTCAGAAGACATCATATGTTTATAATGTTTAAATTAACAATCTGCTTTGATTTAAACAATGCTCGACTTTTCATATTTATTCTTATTATTTCTTGTATTTGACAAGCCAAGGCACGAGCTGACCTAAATCCAGTTAGGGCCAATGAATCTCCATTGACTTAAGGGGATGTTTCCCTCAAGCCTGACTTAAGCAGTAGATTTCCAAATCTCAGGGAGGGGGGTGAAAAGTGCACAAACAAGCAGCTTGTATTTGAAAACTTTGTTACTGACCCTTTAACCCTCAGAATCAATGTCTGCCTGTAAAAAACACTCCAGTCTTGTAACACAAATGTGACTTTTCTCACTTAGCCCACAGCTATTTTCTTACTGATAATCTGCAACACGCAGAACCCCTGTTTTCATTTCAAATAAATATTACTTGAATCTTTTTCAATAACACAGAATTAAATGCAGAGGAAGAGGAGGCTGGAGAATTCATTAGGAGAGAAGAACTATTGGAAAGATGTTAATTATAGTGCATATTGTGCATCTAACAAATCCAATCTGCTGAGTCACATCTCCTCCAAGAACTCCCCCCGTGAGGGTCTGGGATTGCCATGGGAGGGGCAGGAAACAGTTGAATACTTTCAGCCTCTTTGCTCACAATCCTGGCTGCTTTGACCAGGCTCCCATGCCCCACCATAAAGCACTCTGTGATCTTGTAGTCTTTCAGCTGTTGTCTGTTGTCACTCAATATTATAACTGGCAGCAAGGAAGACATTGGGCTATTGGCCCCTTTTCACATACAGACTGAGGTTCAGGAGAATATAGTTGAAATTATGCCACCTTTTAATGCAAAAAAACCATGCCCAAAGGCAAAAATCAGTTTGGCTTTAATTAAAGAATACTCCCCAAATGCCTTTCGAAAACACAAGAGCCTCACAAAATTCATAACTGAAACCAATGAGATGAATAATTAAACTGGAGACAATCATCATTCACATTTCATATTTAGTAAAAAGAATGATTTTACAAGTATTAAAGATGGGAGTACTGAACAGAAGCTATAAGACACCTTTTCTACCTTTTCTTCACCTAAGACCCCATAGGAAATATCCCAGGCTTTTCTTCACAGTGTTATTCATATCCCAAGAGTTAGGAGCCTTATCCAGCCTCATAAAAAAGAATTTTAGCATCTTTAGCTATAAAGCAGATCAGTATTTTAAGGACCTCGAGCCTCTCCTCGCTGGTTCCTCAACCTCCTGAAAAAGAACTCAGTAGTAGCACTGATCATGTTATGCTTTGAGATCTCCTTGTGAGGAGCCCTGTGCTCACCCTGAGATCCCACAGAGCAGCCCAAGGAAATCAAAAGCAAGAACAACTCTTTCCTCAGCACACCTTCTGTCTCCCTTCCCAGGATGGTTTTAGGTTTAGCTACATGTCCTGAATGCAGGAAGGCAGGTTCTCAGGTAACATGTACTAAAATGAGCAACCATTTCACCAATGCTCATCATCAACTGCTTCATAAAACTACAGTATCCACACCTGGATAGCAAAGGCAGGTTATAAAATACACTGATTTGTACCTTAAGATCGAGCTGCTAACAATCTTTATTTTTTTCAGGTCAGTATAAAAAAAAAATCCAGTGCTTTATGAGTAGTACATTATACCAGCAAAGACTTCTGTTAAAACACAGAGCTAATTTGGTAGATAGAAATGCTACTAGAGGATTCACTCTAAATGTGAAAGGTTGAAGGAGTGAACAAAGGGAAACTTTCTGGGAAAAAAAAATAAATTCTTCTAATGACTAAGAAGCTTTTGTGGGATTTTCCCCCCCCCCAGCTATGAGTGATCTAAATTAAATGGTGGCAGGTTTCCAGGTGCTTATAAAATGTCTAATGGGGCTAGAACTTGCCATCAAGAAATTACTAGTTCCCATTAGCTTTAAAGAGGGTATAAGATGAGTCAGATTCTACAGATCACTGTGGATGTGCCTGGGAGAAACCCATGTTCCACCCAGCTGCAGAAAGTTTCATGAATTGTCAGACGCCCCTAAAGGACATGGAGCCCATGTCAGAACTGGGATCAAAGAATCTGCATATACACACAGAGATGAGTGACACCAAATTAACACAGCCTTCCACAAACTGGGTGAAAAGGAACCCTCCAAGACAGAAGGAATGACTGGCAGGAAGCTTGAAAAATAAGGTGCCTCTTCTGCTCACTGAGAGGGGCAAGGGAGCTCCACGTGTACCTAACTCAGCGTTCTGCAAATTGTGAAAGGGGCCTTAAATCCTGTTTGGTGGGTGGGCTTGCTATGGAATGTAGACATAAAGATTAGTCTTTAGACAACCCCATTCCTCTAGAACAGCCCTCTGCTCTTCATCAGTTGACACCACTGCAGAGAAAATCGCAGAGTGCTGTGGGTCAAACCCTCGTGTTATGGGACTGTGGGGTAGAACCTGTCATGGCCTTCAACAGATACATGACTTGGCCTTAAAATATATATGTATATTGAAATACATATTGAAATCTTCATCTGCAGACTACACTGCAGCACAACACGATAAAAGAATGAAGCTTAGACACAGGTGGGCAGGATATATCAAAAGTAGCTTGCACAGGGGTCACACGGGGTGTTGCTCCTCGTGTCTGAGGGTGCAAACTGCCCGAGATTGTCTCAGAGCACGGGCTGGGATTCCGCCCCTTGGAGCCCCTGGGCTTGGCAGAGGTAGCACTTGGCTGCAAACCATGGCCCTGCATAAATCACTTCCCCACTTGCTGCCCTTTGTCCTTGCTCCCATTTTTATCTCTCCCTTGTTTAGACAGGACAATGGCTGTACCACACCGTGTGCTCGTACATTAGCCAGCACAATCTTAATTACAGACTTCAGGCATCATCATGATTAGAGTAATAAGCTGTAATTACTCTAAGGTGACAGGACTGCAGAGACCTTATCTACATAGATAAGAAGATGTAGTAATATTTCATGTCGAGATGTATTTGTCAGCAGCTGCCCATGGAGTGGATTCAAACTAAGCACCAGACCCCACAACCACATTCAGTCTCCGATGGAGGTTTTTCTCCTCTCCTGCCAGCACGCAAGCCCACACATTATTAAATAAATCCTACAAACATATTAGGCACAGTTTAAAACCATCTTATTCAGAGATATCTTTCATCAGTAAAGTGCCTTAAGTGTATCAGGAAGGTGACTTAAATGTATAAATATGTAATTACATGCAATTCAATACAAAAGTGCATTAATATTTATGAGTGTACTGTATAATCTAAAAAAAATTCCATTTGTTTTATTTCTATTGGGCACATTAATCAACCTGATACCACTGTACGTGCCATGGTGGGGAAGAGCTGCCCCTGCTGCGATGTCAGGAGGCTGCTGGAGCCTGGTGGGGTGTCCCTGCAATCCCCTCAGCTCCAGGCAACATGAACAGCTTCAATCCAAGCCCTCCATCTGGGGGGGGAAGGAGAAGCAGCCTCTGTGGGGCCATCAGATAATTTCTCAAGGTAGGAGGCTGGAAGGACACACTCATCAAGTGCTGTGCTCTCAGGGAGCTGTGCCTGATTTATTTCAGCAGGGTCCCTCTTCCTGCTCCGTAAATAACAACTCGCTGACTAAAAACCAGCCCCCAGTGGCAGCAGGGCAGTGCTTTGGGGGGTACCCACGTCACCCCCATGAACCTCACCCAAGAGCTGCTGCCCTTCCCTCCTGCCCCTGCCCTCGGACAACAGCTTAAAAACTACATGCAAATAACAGGAACTCTGCTCCACTCCTTACAGGGTTTTCCTATGGGAACACAGGTTGAAAAGCAACACTGTAAACGCAGTGTGTAGCAAATGCACTGCAGAAATTTCTCCAGATGAACATTTCAGGTGCTGCTCAGAGATTTCAAGCCTTTTCCAAAACATCCTTGTGGGTTATCATTGCAATTCCAGTGTTGCAAGAACTTATTTTCTGAATTTGCACGGAATGTGACCTCAGTAAAGCACAACTTTTAAAAACTGATTATTAAAACCAGGTGTAGCTTACAGTGTAGTGCTAGTTAAACCAAATAACAACTGCAATGTTCTACGACTATATTCCAATTATTTGCTCCTCAGGTTCTTGCTAAAGTCCACTACAGCATTATATCAGAGCCCAACAATTTATCCTTCATTCCAACAGCTGAGAGAAGTCCTGCAGTTTGGTCAGCACAGAATTACAGAGTGTTTTGGGTTGGAGTGAATCTTAAAGCTCATCCCATTCCACCCCCTGCCATGGGCAGGGACACCTTCCACCAGCCCAGGGTGCTCCAAGCCTTGTCCAGCCTGACCTTGGACACTTCCAGGGATGGGGCAGCCACAGCTTCTCTGGGTAACCTGTGCCAGGGTCCCCACCCTCACAGGGAAGCGTCACACAGTGGGAGAGATCAGCTGTGAATCCAGGACAGCAACATGCACAAACAGCTGCACAAAATGAACCAAAACCCCTCAGAATCAGGAAACACTGCCAGTCTGAGAGCACCAAATTTGCCATTGCATCTTGACAGTCTTCATTGACTCATACTATGTTTCCATTACACTGGGGAAGAATTTTTATAGCTGATGGATGAAAATGCCCCAAGACTTCAATACCTTTCTCATGTTTCATAATTTGCTATTTTAATTCTGGCAGAAACAAGATGTAAAGGTCTGAAAACAACGCACTGACCAGTCCCT